AGAGAGAGAGAGAGAGAGAGAGAGAGAGAGAGAGAGAGAGAGAGAGAGAGAGAGAGAGGAGGATTTCTTGTTGCAGGCTTCATCATTCACCGGTTCGCTTGTCTCTTTTTTTCTGTGTTGTTCAGCGGGCTCTTACGCATACGAGAGAAGTTCTGGTGGAGACTAAGGAGGCTCTGAAGAATGCTCAATTCACAATAACCGAGCGGGACTTCATGCTTGACAAGCGTCAAAGCGCAGGTATGAAAGTAAAATGTTGTGCAGTATTTGAATCACAATAATTAGGCTCTTGACTTCCGGTGAGTCTCAAGCTTGAGTGTTTGCAGATGGAATGCTCCAAACAGCAGCGCGAAATGTTTTGAGTGTTTGCTGATGGAACATGTGGTAAATAGGACTGAACGTCTTTTGTGACATTTGGCATTCTGGTTTATCAGTGTCCTCGCTGCATGGTTCCTTGCAATCATGAATTACCCAGAAATAATGGTCTGTTGGCCAATCCAGTAGCGGGTACAGCAGCCTCCCGACACTTCTGTACTCTGCCTGAGAAGTGGAAAGATGCACGATACTGGCGTGAGGCTGGGTTGGGGAATTACAACCCAGCCTCATTAGCCTCATTGAATTTGGGCACAGGTCTCACCGGGCCCAGAGGTTGGACTGGTGCACAGTTAAGTCAGCAGGCTGGTCCAGTCAGAGGCAGGCACACCCTGGAAGAGATAGTGCCATGCTGCTCGAACGCCTGCAGACAGTTAAGTCAGCAGGCTGGTCCAGTCAGAGGCAGGCACACCCTGGAAGAGATACTGCCATGCTGCTCGAACGCCTGTGGAATCTTGTGCTATTTTGAGCATTGTCAATCTGTGCTTTTCAGCGCTAGCGCCTTGATGCGCATGTTGGCTTGCTGGAGCTTGTGGGCTACGGTGGTAGGGGGGTTAGTAGAGATGGCCTAATTGAGGCTTGTGAGATATAAGCACCTGTGATATTGCTGTTGACAAGTGCGAGGCTATGGTGGGACGAGGAGAGAAAGAGGTGGACTTGGATGTTGATCCTGAGGCAGCTTCTGGTTACTGGTTTCTCTGTAGAGGTAGAGCTATGTACAAGACACTTGTAACTTTTCTGGATAAGGAGAATGGAGTCATGTTCAGCTCTATGTTTGCACTTCGTGAGTGCTTTGAGTCTGTTGATTGCTATTGGCGAGAGTGTTCAAGGCAGGTTTAGGCGGTTTGAGTGTATCTGACAGGGCGGTGACAAGGTACATGGATTGGTAACAAAGACCATGGCACGTTGATGCAGTTTATTGTACTTTGAAAGAGTATCTCAGCAGTACAAAGTGGCGACCCCCATTGTGGAACTTGAATGGCGCTGCGTCTATTGATTGAGGCTACGCAGATGGGAGTAATATTGGCTCTTAAAATGTGTTAATCTTTGCAGAGGATGCTCTTGTTGATAAAGGAGGTTCAGTGCGAGAGGAGTTGGAGGCTACGTCGAAGGATGTGGCAGGCTTGAGAGTGAAGCTAAGTAAGTGAGGGGAGCGAACAACTTTTTATCCCCTTGTTCGCCACAGATATTTTCAGTGGCTCCAATCTTCATTGTGCGTGTGTGTTGTGTGTGTATGTGTATGTGTGTGTGTGTGTGTGTGTGTGTGTATGTCTGTGTGTGT